TCATGTCTCGCGCGCTCCCCTCAGAACCCCTTCTCTCCCGCGGCGACATTCCCGGCCGGAAAGCTTTGAGACAAGAGAGAGGAGCGGAGCGGGCCTGGCTGGTTGCAGAGACGTGGTTCCATCGTTACATCACCAAAGCATTTCACGCCAACGATGGGTGAGCACGACCATAGGGACAGAATAGGTATCCTTGAGGTAGGCGACCACCCGTCGTGAGCTACCGACTGACTCCAGAGTGGCCTGTGGCCAAGGTTGCCCACCATCAGGCTCCGACAACACCCTGTGACGATGATGTCTCCCTTATGCTGCGTGACCAACCTGTAGCTACGAGTCCATGCGCGGCGCGCCAGGGTGTGACATGAACCGTGCCGATGGCCAGAAAGACAACCACGGCGCTCCATATCGCCGCCTGGGACCGGGCATTCAGCACAGTCCTGCTGTGGCCAAACGGTGCCGTGCTGACATGGAGCAAGCATCAGAAGCGGAGCGGCCCTTAGCAATAAAAGAATCTTCAGTTGTTGTGACAATACAAGGATAGTAGTTTTTCTGTGCTCCGCACACACTCAACGTCCCGAGCAGCTGTGTACAAGCATGCCGCAGCGGCGGAGGCTTTGATGGAGATCACTTCTGCTTGGAAAATGTATTCCCGACTTACCATTGATGTGTTTATGTACACGGTCTTTCATTTATCCCAGCTGTAGACGGATAGACCTCTGGACCCCTGCTGAGTCAGGTCACAAATACACAAGTGCTCTCTTACCACGCTGCAAGACGACTTTGTGGTTTGGACCTCAAACAAGCCTCGCTATATCAGCCACTCGTATTTACCGCGGTGGCATCCGTTTGTTGACACATGCAGGCACTTGGTCACACTTCATCGCTGTGCCACTCTGTTTACGTGCAGGGCTATCAGAATAGTCATTCGATCGAAATTCTCTCGCAGAAAAGCTCGCAACGCTACAACAAACCACTTGAACCCTCTGAATTGGCTCTATTCTTATGCGGACACGGGCTTGCGTCCCCAGATGTAGCGAACCTTCATGTACCCGTGGATGCCCGGGGTTTTGAGCTCCTTGCGCATCTGCGCCAGCTGCACCTGGTACGCCTCCATGTCGTCGCGCTGCATCACGTTCTTCCACATGAACAGTGTGTAGCCTGCATGCGCATAATACGTCAGCATTCATGGCCGCTACATGATCGAGGTATGGAGGGTGAGGCTGACCTTCGAGATCGTTGAGCATGGTGAGCTTGACAAACTTGCCGACCTCGGCGAGGCGTGGATCTTGTGGCCAGCCACCCACCGGAAGCTGCGGGGGGCCAGTCAGCGGTTACCGTACATTGGCAGAGTCGTTCACACAGGGCCGTCTCTCTCTCCTACCTTGTAGTTGACCTCCTTGATCTCCTCGAACCCCGCCTTCTCGATGCCCGTGCGCTGCAGGCCCTCTTCGAGCACGCAGAACGAGTTGTACCCTTTCTCGCGGGCGCTCTTGTACATTGGGTTCCAGAACTTGGTCATGGCCGAGTCCTTGGCGATGGTGCCGTCGTCGCTATTGATCTCGACGTCGCACTCGCAGCTTTGCACGTAGCCACCTGGGGCGCAGGCGTTGTACGCCTGCTTGAAAAGCTCGTTCCAGTCGCGCACTGCGCCGAAGAGGTAGCGCATGTGGATGAAGTCGAACGAGTTAGGCTCCCAGGTCCAGGGCTGGAGGAAGTCGTCGATCTCGAAGCGGATGTTGGGCGGCACCCAGGACGGCTGGATGGGCGAGAGGTCGGTGCCTATGATGTCGGCATCGGGGTGCGTATCCGCAAAGTCGCTTTGCTTCATGTTAATTGCTGCATACAGCATACAGGCAAATGATGGGACGTTGTTGTGTTGTGGTGGCGTGTAGCTTACATTGCCCAAATTCCTGCAGATTGGAACTGTTAGCTGCTGCTTTTTCCTGAAGAGGAGAGACATTTCATGACGCACCTGTTCCAGTGCCGAGGTCGAGGACTTTCTGCAATGACAGTCAGCAGTGCAACGTACAGCCGCCAGGCATTGACGCACCTTGGGGTCCTTGACGGGCGCGAGAAAGAGCTTGCCATCGAGCATGATGTTTAGGTAGTGGTGCGTGATGTCGACCGAGGTCTGCTGCTGGTCGTCGTTGGGCGTGAAGTACTCGGTGGTCTGGCGCTCGCTGTGATAGGTGCGGCCCTGGATGGTGCGGTACTTGAGGATGCTCGAGGCGATCGAGTCGGTGCTGCTGGCACTGTTGTTTGCGGTCACGGGTGAGCTATAGATGTCCCATCATGGCGCGATCTCGGAGAGAGGCCTTCATTACGCATCGGTGCCAAGAGTCGAGTCGGCATCGTCCTCGAGGGCTTGTGCCTGTGCGGGCTGTCAGCTGCAAGTTCCTGGGGGCCGTGGCAGGTGAGCTTGGGGAAGAGCTAGCTGCTCACATCAGGGTTCACGGCGATGGGCTCGGCGGCCTGCACGTCAGGCTGCGCCTCGGGCTGCGTCTCGGGCTGCGCAGCGGGCGGCACATCGGGGTGCGCACCGGATGGAGCATCGGGCTGGACGGCGGCGGGGACGGCGGGCTGCTGCTGGTCCGCCATGGCTGTTGTCGTGATTGATCAGAGAGACGGCGGTCGGAAGCTGGGAGTGGCGATGAAGACGGAGAGGGGCAGAGAGGACGGAGTGGCCGAGCTATGAGCTGCCATGTGAGGGGCTGGTGGCAGGCACGGGTTGAGATGTGCAGGAGGGCGTTGCATGCCAGGTCTGCAGAGGGGTCCTTCCGTGGTTGTCGACATGGGGGTCGTCGTTTGCTTGGCACGCCGGCGGGCAGCGCAAGCAAGCGGCATGGGTCTGCATCTGCTTGAGCAAGGCAGGACACAGCACCAACAACAATAATGATGACAACAACAACAACAACAGCAACAACAAAACAAAAGAGGCAGGCTGTCTGCAATTCCAACAAGCATGTTTTACAGTTCAGCAACTGCCCCGACTGGTATCCCGAGTGACAAGTCGCGGCATGGCTCTTGCCATGATCTGCTGTGGTCCGGTCCATGGCTGTCTTGCCATCGTGGACGTGGATGCAGCCGCGTTGCGCTGCATCAAATGCATAGTCGGCGGCAGGTCTTGCTGCATCCTGGCGGCACAGGAGCAGTCTGTTCCCCGGCCCAGCCCGGGATCCCGCGTGGCTTTGGGATGCCGGATCCCACAGTACTGCCGGATCGCTGCCGCGGCACCCACACCGCCACTCCGCAGTGCATATCCATCCGTCGCAGCTGGAGTCTTCCCGAGGCAGATGCTGGCCAAGACGGAGGCATTATTGAATAAGAGCAGTAAACGTCCTTGCCTCAGGCCTACACCCTTCTGACAGGATAGACAAACTGCCGTGCTGGCTGCTGACAATTCCGCTCCCCCCCCCGCCACCCATGAACCCCCTCACGCGGTGGTGGTGCCATTCGTTGTGGGACTGCCCGACGACAGCAGCCAACAAACAACTCATAATGCAGCTCTGGGGTATGCCGGTGGCCTCTCACAGCGCTGCCGAGGTGTGGAGGCGCGATGAACCCCCGATGCGATTGGTCAACCTGGCATGTCTGTCAAGGACGAGAGTTCATGCCTGCATGCCGCTGACAGCCGGGTATAGACCACACCTGAGAGTCCACGATCTAGTCGACTCTACGGCGCCTGGCTGTGCTCTTATGCACGTCCTCGGTCATTTTTTCGATCACAACCATGTCAGCATAAGACATTCCGATCATGCGTTGGTGGCCCGTGGTCAGGGCCGGCATTGACCTGGTTAGCAAACACGCCAAAACGGCATGTTGGGCTCCTGTATGCTATGCTCACAGCTCCAACATCTGCGGATGGGTTCGTCGGCTCGCGGCGCAAACGAATCTATTGTCCTGAGACTGGGCCTATCGTGCTACATCGTGCTGTTGAGTCTCGCTGACGTCGTGTCTGGCTCTCCTGGAAAAGACAACTGCTTCTGCACGAGAGCGTCGCCGTGCGGGACAACAAGGAGGAGAGGCTGCGGGAACTGTTGCCAAACGCGGGGTTTATGTTAATGATTGACCAGGCGCTGTTTGCATACGAGTCGGAGATGGGATACAGGGGCTTGACCAAGTGTCTATCATCATCCCAGGCTTCGGTATCATGCCTGTATCTTACTGGGATGTCGGTACAGGTCAAGTTCTGCTTGTTCCGCATCCCTCGCTTCCACCAACCGCGCAGTATACACCGGGGGTAGTACAGCCCAGTACAGGGCCCTTGGATGCCATCCCAGCTATTTCGTGGCAGGCTTCCTTCCACCCGTTTGCCAACACCGCCTGTGCGAAACACGCACTTGCCGTGAGTAAGATCGCGCCCACGCCCCAGAGTGCCAGCCGCGTGCTGGTCTGCGATCCGCGCAGAGACAAGCCTCCATGAACGACTGTAGCGCCGGGTAAATCTGTCCCCCATGGTTTAGCGATATGTCGGAGACACCACGACGGCGCACGCTCTCCTCGGCCATTTTCCTCAGAAAGCACGGAGGTGGAGGGAACCTCAGCTGCTTGTGGGTTTTCTTCCTCCCGACATCTGCCGTACACGAAGACACGACGTCCGACATCCCGTGTCGAGGAGGATATACTCCATCGCAAACCCTGTCTTCTCGACACACAATACTACCAGTATATGACATCGACGGGCGAACAAGACCAGCACAGGAGTTCTGGAGCAGGTACAACGATCATGTCTAAGCAAGAGCTTAAGCCGGGGTAGGAGATTGCCTTCCACGTCCCTTGACGCCATGGATTTCATCGGGCTAGGTCACGGAGTACCGCCGTCCTCAATTCTGCTCGTGTCCGAACAGCATCCGGAGACAGATATCCCGGCGAACTTCGGTCCACACCGGCATCCGTGGGCGGCCAGGACACACACCTGCCATGCTTTGTGGCATGCACGCGAGCCATCAACTGCCCGATGATAGAAACATCGATAACCAGTTCCTATTCTTCCAATAAGCAATGTCCGCGTGGCGCAATGGTAGCGCGTTGGACTTCTAAACCATTCTGCGCCGTGGAAAAGCTCGTTGTCAGTCCATGACTCGGGAAGATTCGGCAGCGGTTAGGAGCCAATCCAAAGGTTGTGGGTTCGAGCCCCACCGTGGATGCTTTTTTTTGATTCGCACGAAAGCTTGTCCCTGTGCATCGGTGGGAGACGGAGGTGGCTTGTGGCTTGTGCAGGTGATTCTTTTTTTTTCTTTTTAGGGGGGCTTGTGCGAGAAGCTTGATTGTATGGCATGGGCCGAGTGTGGCTGCGCTTAGCAGTCCTATGGGACAGCCAGCCACTCGCACGTGTCGTGTGGCGGGAATTGCTCCGAAAAGATCTTTTGCCTCGCGCTACAGCAAGGGACGTAACGTCCCCCATCTGAGATCTAGTCCTGCAGCATCACGTGCCGGCCGGGCGGCGTGCAGCGACGATTGCTACGCCATCTGGCCTAGTTCTCGTGATTGTCTGACTTGGGCTGCAGAACCGTCGCCGTCGGCGAGTGCAGCCCCTGACTCGACTCTCCATCGAGTCCATGACCGCTGGCTCCGTCACGACTCGCCACTTGTTCATGTTTGCTGCAGCCAGCGTCTGCGTGCCAACGCAGTCGAGCCTAGAGCGGCTTGGCCGATGAGGAGGCAGGCTAGCGTGCTCTGTGTACTGAAGACACGTCCTTCCTATACGAGCGTGGGACCGCTCGCCACGGTGGCCTGTACTTGGTACCCGGCACGCAGCCAGCTTTGGAATCACATGCCACGGATTGCGTGCGATGCTCGATGCAAGCCACTGCCATCGCGTGTGCTTCTAGTGCCGTTCGCTCTCAACGTTCTGCACGCCCACATGCATGCAATGCCACTTCAGCCAGGCCCCTGCTCCCTGTCTGTCCCTGCCCAAGCTGCTCGGGTTCGCAGGCTGGTCCAGCACGCTGCACTGCAATGCTTGTCTCGGATAGCAGATGGGCAGGCTCTTATTATGTTGCCCTACTGCCTCCTGGCGGGCTGCCTCTTCTCTGTCGTCTGCGGCCCTGGCCAGACAGCAGATCCTTATTCGAGACAGGGACTCTGCACCGTCGGTTCGCGCTGGCGACTGATCAACAGCGGTCTCCATTGGCCCGGCGGGTTCTGCCGGGCCCTGGTCCGAGCCAGGAGGGTCGAGACAGATCGCCCGTGGGAATTTCGCGGGCGCCCGCAAGCGGTGAGGAGCATAGAGGGGCCCCTGGCGTCCATAGTGGATAGCAGCTCCAGACCCTTCTCAATCCTCTTGCTGGACCAAGGAGAACAATCCGATCCTGGCAGACCTTTGTGACCAGGGTCTTCAGACTGGGAAGAGGGGCAGCCTCTGGCGGTCTTGATGGCGGTCTTGATGGCACCGGTATTGCGGACACACAGACAGCATTGCACAAACCTTGTCACACGGAGTACCGAGCACAGAGGTGGTTATTTTGTGTCTCAGCCACGCCATGTGCCTTTTCCATGGCGGCTCGCTGCACGTGCTGGCGCCGCTCGCCCGCGGGCCAAGAGAGACGCCAATCAAGGAGCCGGGCTGGCGCGGCTCTTTCTGGAACCCCTGGCTCAACCGCACCAGGGGCGGACACCGCCCGACACGACCACGGACCCTGGCGATTCAGGGTCCGCCGCGCCAGCGTGCCTGGTTTCACCCGCACACTTGCACGGCGCGGCCAGGGTCCGGCCTCAATTTGTTGGGACTGGCTCCACCATGGCAGAAAAAAATGGGAGATCCCGATGGCCAAGGGCGACTGCGGAGCAGATAAGGGGTCTTTCCGTGGCGGCAGCTCTCGAGGCGGTCCGGGTCCTGGGTCCTGGTCCTTTATCTAGGGGCCGTCCGCTCTTCCTTCCGCCTCTGCTGGTCCCCTCTCGCTTTTGGAAGCACTCGCTACATCCTGCCATTCAGTGTTTGGCAGATTGATCTCGTCAAGATGATTGCGACCACCCAGACCAAGACGACCGTGACGGAGCGCGGGACGGTAAGCCACTGTGATTTCTCACACTGATATGTACACTTCGGCTGACTCTGTTGTGGCAGACCCGCATGAGAGGCTCGTCCACGGTGCAGGAGTTCCCCGACATCCAGACCATCCGCGATGCCATCCCCAAGCACTGCTTCGAGCCCTCGACGGCCCGCTCGCTCGGCTACGTTGCCCGCGATCTCGCCATGGCCTCGACGCTCATCTGGGCCGCCCTCACCTTCATCCCCCAGATCGAGGACTCCGTCCTGCGCTTCTCGGCGTGGATGGTCTACGGCCTCGTCCAGGGCATGGTCTGCACCGGAGTGTGGATTCTTGCCCACGAGTGCGGCCACGGCGCCTTCAGCAAGCACCCCCGCCTCAACGACTTTGTCGGCTGGGCCCTGCACTCGTCCCTGATGGTACCCTACTTCTCGTGGAAGTTCTCGCACCACCGCCACCACCGCTTCACCGGCAACATGGAGAAGGACATGGTCTTTGTCCCCGCCGTCAAGACCGACGAGCCTCCCAAGCGCCGTCTCGCCTCCTTCTACCTCGACCCTGAGATCCTCGAGGACGCCCCCATTGTCAGCCTGATCCAGCTCATTGCCCACCAGCTTGCTGGCTGGCAGATGTACCTGCTCTTCAACGTCTCGGCCGGCCCCGACAGCAAGCAGCGCGACGAGAGCGGCTGGCTGCGCGTGTCCCACTTCGAGCCCACCTCGGCTGTCTTCCGCTCCAGCGAGGCCTTCTACATCTTCCTTGCCGACGTCGGCCTCGCCCTGACCTGCGCTGCCATCTACTACAGCGCCACCATCGTCGGCTGGCCTACCATGTTCTTCCTCTACTTTGTCCCGTACATGTGGTGGAACCACTGGCTCGTCGCCATCACCTACCTGCACCACACGCACCCGGACGTCCACCACTACGAGGCCGACAGCTGGACCTACGTCAAGGGCGCCCTCGCCACCGTCGACCGTGACTTCGGCTGGATCGATAAGCACCTCTTCCACGGCATCATCGGCTTCCACGTCATCCACCACATGTTCGCCCGCATCCCCTTCTACTACGCCGAGGAGGCCACTGCCGCTGTCCAGCCCGTCATCGGCAGCCACTACCACCGCGAGCCCGGCTCGTTCATGGGCCAGCTGTGGCAGACATTCACCACGTGCCGCTTCGTCGAGAAGGACCCCGAGCACCCTGGCGCCATGCGCTGGGTCAAGCCCAGCAAGGCCCAGTAAGGTCTTGAACGAGGATGTCGTTCTCCTCCTCGCTGGAGACAAAGCCGTGCCCACACGAGCACGGTAAAACTGTGCACCATAGATTCGGAAAGGCATCAGACCTATACTCTAGACGACTAGACATGATAGAAAAACTGGTGTGTTAGATTGGTTTAGAAAAGTCAAACACGCGTTAGGCAATCATGATAGAGCAATAGACAAAGACTACAGGATAGTCAAAAAAGATTTCCCACACGAGCATCCCTTTCATGTTCCTTGCGGCCGCACGCGACTATGCAAACTCTATAGCTGCACCATACCTGTGGACCTTCCCCCCTTCGCCCAGAAGCCGGCATCGGCGATCGCCACTTGGGCACCGACCCACCACTTGGCATACTCTACACTTCACAAGCATACCCGTGCGTCTGAGGCCAGTCTTTTGTGAACCATCAACATCACAACTGCACATTTCGAGCATGAGCGGGGATTTATTAGAGGGCCTGCCAACGACGGCACCGGCGAGGCCAAAGTCGGTCTTGAAGTTCTTCGATGTGAGCGGCCTCCGTGGAATGCACCCACTGCAGAATATTTAAAACTTACCGCCCGACCCAACCCCTAGGTAGCAGTCACGGCCACGGCCAACGAGTTCGCCGGGATATACCGCAACAAGCAGTACCACGAGCCCGACTTCGAGGCCGTCCTGGACCGCGCGGCGGCCGCGGGCGTCGGGCGGGTCATGCTCACGGGCATGTCCCTCCGCGACGCCGCCGTGCACGCGGAGCTCGCGGCCACCCGGCCCGGGCGGAGCGTCGTCTACACGATCGGCGTGCACCCGTACCACGCCGCGGAGCCGGAGGAGGATCCTGGGGGTACATACCTCGAGGAGCTCGGCGACGCCGTCGCGCAGGCGCTGCAGCTGGGCGATGCGTGTCCCGTCGCGGCGTTCGGCGAGCTCGGGCTCGACTACGACCGGCTCGACCGGTGCCCGCGGGACGTGCAGCTGCGGACGTTCCGCGCGCAGCTGGACCTGTACGTCGCGAGGGGGTTCACGCTGCCGCTGTTCCTGCACTGCCGCGCGGCATTTGACGACTTCGCGGCCGTCATGCGCGAGTTCCTCCCGCGCCTGCCCGCCGCTGTCCGGCAGCAACCCAGCGGTCGTCGCGTGGGCCTGGTGCACTCGTTCGTCGGGACGCCCGCGCAGATGCACGTCCTGACGGCGGAGCTGGGGCTCGACGTCAGCGTCAACGGGTTCAGCTTCCGGGACCGCGGGAGCGTCGAGATGGTCCGCGACGTGCCGCTCGGGCATCTGCAGATCGAGACGGACGCGCCGTGGGGGCTGATCCCTGCTGGATCCGAGGTCGCGAGGCGGTACCTGGTGAATGCGCCGCCGCTGCCGGCGAGCAAGAAGCGGGACAAGTTTGACCGGGCGGCCATGGTGAAGGAGCGGAACGAGAGCTGCTGTATCGACCGCGTGGCGTACGTTGTGGCGGGGATAAAGGGGCTGACCGTGGAAGAGATCTGTGAGAAGGCTTGGGAGAACAGTACCTCGATGTTTGGGTAGAGCGGCGAATCAGAGAAAGAGTATGGTACACTTCCTGCGAGGAGGCTGTACTTGGGCGGTAATAATGATGCCTGACCATAAACATCCAATGGAGGGTCCCAGAACGTCATCTGCGTGCAGAGGGGCCTTTATGCAGGTTGCCAGGCAGGTTGCCAGGCAAGTTGCTCTTTACTCCGCCCTACAATGTCTCCAATGATAGGCTGCCTGCAGTGCCTGCCTTGGATGTGTTGGTTGTGCACCCGGTGAGGGGGCTGTGCAGCTGGAAGGTGTGGCACCTTGTTGGTCGTCCCGTGTTGGCAGTGCCGTTCTGCTCCATCGTCCTTCATTCATCGTTCCCATTGTAGCGGCAATCGGAAAGAAAGCAAACTCGTCCAGCCCGC